GACACGCCGACAGGCACCTGCTGCTCCCCGGCAAACCTCTGCGCGCGTGCCCAGGGCCTGGGTCGCCCATCCTTCCGAAGGCCGTCCGTCGCAGACACCACCACCCACCCGCGGGGACACAGCCCACAGCTCCGAACTGTGGCACGCGCAGGGGCCTTCTCCCTCTGCTGTCTCAGGAATGGACTCTCGCCCCGACTTAGCCCTGCGCCCGCACCCCAGACTCTCCGATTTCACATGCGTCCCACAGTTCAAGTCCGTGCATCCTGCCTGGCTGGCTCCCTGAAGCACCCTACCTTTCAGGCCTCGCATCCTCCCATAGTCTCCGCTCTCAAGAATGAGCCCCCGTCCCCATTCTCTGATCCCTCTCTTCTGTGTCTGGCAAACTCCACCCCACCCCCACCCCCTCCCAAGCTTCTCGAATCAGCTAAGGATCTTTCCTGACCTCCCTGGCTGGGCTCTGTGCCCCCACATTCTGCCAGGGCTGTGCATTTTTCTGTTTGTGCGCCCACCTCCATCCTCATGGGAGCTCTTCAAGAAAGGGCAGAAATTGTATCTCTCTCTCATGTGTATGTCGTAAGCTTCTGTTACATCCCATCTCCAGTTGGCGTTTATTGAATGGCTGTGTTCCTCTGCGGGCATCCACTCTGCCCCTGCGTCCCCTCCAATCGCCACGTGCTTGTTGAGAGCTACCACCCAGCCAGGGAGCCCGTGTGCAGCAGGATGCAATGCTGCCTGGCCCATGTGTCTTAGGTGCAATGTCTCCCAGGGAGTGAGTGTGTGTCCTGACTCCAACGAGCTATTTATCTCCTTAGCACCTCCAAATGAGGTCATCAGGTTGTGACCAGATTGACAGGCTAAACACTACCCCTTAACTCTAAAGTCTCAAATTGACACCAGATGATGTAACTACCACAGAGACGCACTCCACAATGGCATATGACAATTATATATTTCAATTTATAAAATTGGCAGTAACTTCGTTTTAAAAATTGTACTAAAAATCATTTTATTGGGAGCTGTTACAGATATTGTAACATCCCATAGTTGAGTCACATCAAGCCATATTGTACACTTATTACCAGAGTCAGTTTCAAAACATTCTCCTACTTGATCTCCTTGATACCCGCTCCCATTTATGCCCTCTGTACTCCCAGCCCCCAAACCCTTACTACTGTGTGTCTATGTACATATATATTGCCGTATCTTACACTAATATATATGCATTCATGTCTATAGTCTGTCGTTCACTCCCCTCCAGTGGGTTGTACAGTCATCATTGCTATCAGCTCCCCCTATCCCGCTTTCCCCTCTCTTCCAGTACCCTCAGGAAACTGTTACTCTTCTTACTTCTTCTGGGGGGTGTACTTTTTTAAATGATCAGAATAATACACGCTTTTAGTTAAAGGAAGGAAAGTCTTAAAGAAAAGAAGGAAGGCAAGAGGGCGAGTGAGTGGAAGAAAAGCGTACCGGGCACAAACTGGCAGCCCTCTCCTTTCTCCCCACCCCCACCCCCAGTTCTTGTGTGTACCCTTCCATACGCTCTCTGTGTATATATATGCAAGTGTGTATATGTTTTGTTTTCTTTCTTTGACACGGGGACTTGCTATTATGCACAGTGTTCTACAATATGCTTGCTTTCTCCTCCTGTCGTATCTTTTCCATGTCAGTCCTTGT